CACCTCCTGCATTTCCTGTACAGTTTTGATGGTTGATCATTCTCTTAAAACCTGCTTTTTAAGTAGAGCTGCACCTTTTCATAAAAATGAAGGGGAGATATTACAAGGGAAATTGAAATAAAATAAATGTGTATGACAGTATTTGAAAGAAATGGGATAACATGGTAATACCTGTATGCAGAGGTTTTAGAAATAAGAAGTGGTGTGCACATGCAAATGATTATAGATGTGGAAAAGCATTAAAATAGTTTTATTGTTGGTATTGTTTCGTTTTCTTAAATGAGTGTAGCTGTTATAACTGGGGTAAGTTAGGAGTGGAGCCTTCTGGGCTTTTATAACGGTGTGTAAACAGTTTGAAGGGATCTTAGGCCTATTTTTTGTCTGGATCTTGTCTGTGGTAATATTTAAAGCCCAGTTAAAGTAGATGTTACATATACTGTATCCACTCTTTGGTTAAATCAGCACATGGTCGGGTGTGTGTGTACGATATAAAGCAGCAAAAACTTGAACATGTTGGTTGGGTTCTATTTGCTTTGGCATTGTTTAACAGTTTTGATGAAGTTCCCTAACAAATCTGTGCGTTTTGGGGATGTGCCAAAGGACTAAGGAAACACCTTCACTTACATTGGCTTTAAAAAATGTCAGATAGGATGACCATTTTAACTTCAGGTCTAACTTTCATCCCAGGCAAAATGAGGGAATAATTGAAAATAAGCTTGAGTGTCTGAAAGCTCACCTTTTTTCCCCAAACACGAATTGGTCCAATAAAATGTACTAGCACTGCCAACAGATCAAGACTGTTGTAATTTATGCCATTTAGCATAGCTTATAGGAGCTTGGATCTAGTCAACAAATGTGATACAGTGTTTTGACAAAATCAGACACATTTGGTGAAAGAACTAACTCACTGATTTGGAATTTTATTTTTTTTTTTAAGTATGCCTCTAGACAGTGCTTGCACCCCACATCCTCACTTTGTAAAAGTGGCAGTCTCTAGTGCAGCAATTCTTAATTGAAGTGTAATATAAGAATTGAAAAACAAGGGAAATTTGAGACTGGTGTGGTATAGTGTAGAAGTCCTAAGAAAAAGTTTATCTTCATTAATGATTTGCCTGTGTGATGAAGCTTAGATGCTTCCACAGTGAGAGAAATTGGTTTAATGAAAACTTAAGCCCTAAGAAACTTCAGAGTTAACTTACAGTAGTGCATCATGAATGTCAAGGCTAATGGAGTTCTGTCCATGATAAAGACATGCCCCTAATTCTCAATTGTGTTATTACCTCTAATGGGAAAAGAAGAATTGAGACCCTCTAATTCTCAAACAAAAAAGAGCTTAAAGAAATACATGATTTTAAGCTGGCACCAGTATTGTAACTGCTATTATTGTGTCATCTCCTTATTAGAAAAGACTAGAATATACTCAAAGGTTCCAGAAAATTCCTTGTCAGACATTAAAATCACCAAGTTTTCAAACACATAAAATATGTTTAGTTCTATAATCTAGTTGGATTAAAGTGTTCCACTCCTCAATCACGTGGTAAAAAAAAAAATAAGGATTTTGATGGGGTAAGATTAAAGAGTGGAAGTTAAGTATAGTCTTTATTCCTAATGTACTAAGTTTTGAAACTTAGAATAATGTGTAACTTAAAATAGTTTCCTTGGTCTTATAAGCAGAAAAAAATTACTGGAGTGTCTTGTGCAAGCAATGAAATATATTGTAGTTGTCTCAAACATGGTAATGAAAAACCTGTGGTCATCTCTTTTGAAGTGAGTTTTGTATAGCACCTTCATGGTTGCATTCCACTGATCACAAGGGTAGTCAGTTTTAGCTGTATAGTGATTTCTGTGGAACTGACAGATTGCTGTAGGAATGCAGATACTAAAGAAGGACGAGTTTTGTGTGGCATGTATGTTTGTTATTACTACAAAAATATAGTGTAACTGCATCTTGTTCCTATAATTGCATCTGTAGATAAGAAGCCAAGAAATAGGGGTCATACATGGAAGAAATTATTCTTCCACCTGTTTTATCCAACTGTATTACAGCCCTTTAGAGTCATGGTTCTGAATTCAGCAAGTTAGGTAGGACTAGGTAACAGCATACTTTTTCATGTGTCAAATAATTGCTACCTGGATAGCTATTAAAAGTCAATAACATGAAGAACATAAAAGCATGATTATTTCAGATTTGTCCTTGAAATGTGGATCAAAGTTTATGTTCATTGTACAAATGAGTCATTGCAAGAATGAAGAGAGCACTAAAGGGTATCTCTATTTTCTGTTAATTGTTTGTGGAGGTTAAGTAAAATTGTTATATAAAGAGTTTTTGAATTGAATATTAGGTTTGCCATAAAATAAAGAGTAGGTAAATAAATCCTTTTAGTGTTCCAGTCAGTGAAAAAAAGATGGAAAAAAGGACCCTCTACAGAATTTTCATAGTAATACTAATGGCCAAAATTTCTTACTATGTCTTGGACCATTTTTCATAGCTCTTACCTTTGGAATACCTTCATTTAAATAAACACGGCCTCTACCCATAATTCTTGATTTGGTGTTATCTTTAGATTAGGAGGGAAAAGTTCTTTTGTGGGTCCAGAAAATGCTTTCTGAGTACAGTTTCTGTTTTTTATTCTATGAACTCTGTTCCTTGCTCATCAATAGAAGCATATTATAATGTCTGTGAATGTGTATTTCTCTCTCTGCAATTTTACACATCCTTGCATTAAGAAAGCAAGATTTTTTTGTACATTTTATTTATGATATGTTTACACACAAAATTTCATTATGGTGTACTAAAAAAAAAAAATTTAGAACAACATTTGCTGTTGTATTAGCTGCTTCCAGCTAATATTTTAAAGATGTGATATACTAAAACCTTAGTTCCTCAAATACGGATCTTTCTTAGATAGAACTCTTGGCTTCTTTATCTTTTTCCTTCATAGTAAAAGAAAATCTGTAAGGAGATTTTACCTGAGCATATTTAACACCATCTCCATGACAACCAGCTAATTAATCACTATCAGTCTGGCTTTGGTCCTCTTCAGTGAACTGATACTCTCCAGCTTTTTTTCACATATCTTCTGTGTTTTCTATGAAGGTCATTTATTTAGCGACATTATGTCTTTGGGAGTGGAAGCCTTTTCATACAAGAAACCATTGTCTTTAAAGCACATTAAATGTACCTGCAGTTTCCTCCCAGTTTTGCTTCCTGCACAGTAGTAGGGAGATTTTAAGGCTAAGATTTTGGGGTTTTTTCCCTCTTCTTGCTTTTTCTGAAATTTCCAATTTTTTATTTATTTATTTATTTATTTATTTTGTTTTTTGTTTTGTTTTGGGCATAAGGGTTCAGTAGTACATGATGACTACAGCCACATTGCAGTGCAGAAATGTCCAAGCTAAGTTTGCATCTAAGTATTATAGTAAGTAGGAGTGGGCTAAAGGCTCAAGTAGTTCCTGTGCTTCTTGGGACAGATTTGGCTGGTCTGAGTCTCTGTTGCTGCATTGCTTTAAATATTCATGCTTCCTTGTGTAAGTCATCACTGTACTATCATGCAGTTCGAGTTTCTGCAATGGTAGAGGTATTTGGAATCAATCAACATACTTGTCATGGCTACTGCATAATTTTTTACATTTATAAATTTGGTTGGAAGGCCTGATAATAATATTACTGTTGCAATTGCATTTTTTCCCCTATGACAGCAGTCTTAAGCCTGTGAACTGAAAGAACATAACACCTATAGAACATAACGTCTGTAGGCACTCAGACCATACAGCTCAATATCCTGTCGATCCTAACAGACTCTCACAGAGGATGCTGTGACAGGCTGTAGGGACAAGAGATAGGGTGAGGCTGTGCAGGATATTTTCCCCAGAAAATTTTCCAATCTTCACCTGTCTGTGGCTGGAGTTTGGAGATTGCAAATAGTAAAAAGAACAAAAGCTGAGGCTAGGAAAGAAAAGTATTTCTCCAACCTGAACACATCTTGTATTTTTAAGTTTTCATTTAATTTCTGAATGACTATTCACTGCCTCTTACAAATTAAGTATACTTATACATATTAATTTATACATATTATGTAAAATTGAGTATGTCCCTCATTCCTGCAGTCTCCATTCCACTGGTGCATGTTTAGTTCCAATCCTTGTTTTCCTGTCATGTCTCATGGATGTATTATTGTTTGAAGTTATTCCATATATTTACTCTTTGTGTGCCGTATCTTTTGCAGATAGTTTGTGGGACACCTTAATTATCTAAATAATTTAGTAATCCTTATAAAAGCTGTATATTGATGTTTAGGTGTAGTTAACAACTCTTGAAGATTGAAGCAGTCTATTAAAAGAATTGCCAGTAGATTTGTGTAGAAAAGCAATAGAAAAAACTGTATTTTGACTGAATATTTTACCTATTGTTGAGGGTAAGTAACATTTATAATGTGCTGTTAAGCTGGTTTTAACATGTGCAAAAACAATAAAGTAAAACAACAATGTTTAGGCAACTCCTTTATTTTTCTTCACATGTATCAAGCAAACGAAACAGCTTCAGAAGGGCAAGATGAACTGGGAAGGGCTGGAAATAATTTTTGATAGTTTCCCTCATAAGTTTTTTTATTTTTTTATCAGTTTGTGCAAGAATGAATAACTGAAAATAATAGATACGGATGTCTTACATAATAAATGACTAAGGAGGTAGATCTAAGCAGCTCTGAGCAGTTTAGTACTAAGGATTTGTATGAAGTGAAGTGGTGACAGGAAACTTGCATGGAGGTGGACATGAGTTGAGCTGCAAAAGTGACCATGAAGATAGGAAGCACTTTTTTTTGTGCCTACAAATAATGTCTACACTGAACCATTTTCATTCAGCTACTTATTTGACATTGTGATAAATCTGGATTTAGAGTGACATATTAATGATTTTCTCTTTTCTTCTTTGTTTTTTTTTTATTGTTTTGTTTGTTTCTTTTGTTTGTTCCTGACATGCTACTGTACTATTGCCTATGAAGATTGCTGTGTTCACTGTATCCTGGCTTGCTTGTTCTGTGAATTTCTCACCCTCTGCAACATTGTTCTGGGACAAGCATCCTGTGGCATCTGCACGTCGGAAGCCTGCTGCTGCTGCTGCGGGGACGAGATGGGGGATGACTGTAACTGCCCGTGTGACATGGACTGTGGCATAATGGACGCGTGTTGTGAATCTTCAGATTGCTTGGAGATCTGCATGGAATGCTGTGGGATCTGCTTCCCATCATGAAATATTTATCCCTTTCTATTTTATTCTCTATAAAACTGGAGAGCTTTTCTTTAAATACATTTGAAGAAAGACTAGGTAAGATTTTCACACTTGCACTGTTAATTCTCTTTATATAAATATTTTTTTAAAAAGTAATCCTCAAGTCTGTATTCTAACACAAATGGTATAGTTTTGTATGTGAAACTGAAGCTACATTCCAGCTTCCTTTTGGCTTTGCAAATGGAAGAGTTTACTGAAAGTGAATTCTAGGCCTGATACTGCAGGCCACATGAAGGCAAAATTGCCATTTGAATCCAGTGAATCAAGGTTTTGGTCAGAGAACAGACTGCAAGGCAAAGCCTTAAGTATTTGCTGCATACTTTAATGTTTAAACACTCAAATGCCTCCATGCATAACATGCCTTTACAGGCATTCTGAAAATCAAAATATCTCTGTTTCTCTCTCTTTGGGTTGAAAGCAACTTTGCTCTATTATTTTAAACTTAATTCAAAAGCCAGAATTAGAAATACACTGTTGGTTTTGCTACAGTGGTCGTGTTGGCAATATGTCTTTTGTTTTGAATATCTCATTAATTAGAGAGCAATTCCCAGTATTTTACATTGCTGAAATTATCTGACAATCTAAAGTCACATATAAGTTTTGCCCTGGACTAGAAGAGTACCAGGATTTCTTTGTCATTAATCAAGACAGAATAGAGACCTTATCATTTTAGTTCCGTACTATTATTACTTGAAATGCTACATCTTAGAAAGAGACTTTGGAAATCTGTGTATGAAATGTATCCTTTGAGTAACAAACTAATAGACTAACAATACTTCAAAAAATGGCTAAAGAAGGAAAATTATTAGAAGTTAACTCAAGAATCTAAACCAGTACATTAAGTGGCCTGGTCAGTGTTTGTGCCTTTGGAGCCAGTGTCACATAACTTAGTATTTATTTCTTTATGGTATAAGAAAGATCTACAGAAAGTAGCAGAATTTAAACAGGGTATAAAAACAAAACTGACTTAATCAAGGAATTCTGTCATTAAATGCAAAAAGCAAGTGAAAAAATGATTATTCTCAGATACATTTTAAATGTTATTTTTAAATAACTGTGTAAAAAAAGATAATTAAGAATATATATTTTAAGCTTTAAAAATAAAAGGGTTGGTATTTAAAATGTTTGAAAAATACAGTTAGGATCTGTTGGACCTAACTGTAGATTTCCTGTTACACCATTAAGGTTTTCCAAAAAATAACTGTCTTTTGTAATTTTAATTGTGGAACACATAAAGAGGTTTATGGCATTCCCAGATATAGGGGATCAAAGTACCCATTTTCTTTACTATCTGCTAATTTCTCCCCTCCATGTCTGTAGCTTTTCTGTGTAAAACACCCAAACATCTTGATCTCACATACTTAAACTTTCCTGTTTACACTCCAGATAATCCATTTGTCGAATGTAAAATTGTAGATCTCCTAAATTCAGTCCTTTTTACAAGAGTCATCAATAGCCAATAGCATGTGTGTTGAGTGAATTGGCCATAAATGCCTCTTTCTACTATAGTGAATTCAGTTTATGCAAATGTGACAAGCTAAAGATCACAGGATCTTTAGAAACTAAGTCTACAAACGGTCTGATATTAACCAAAGCTTCTTCTTGTGAACACTGACTAGTAGTGCCTACTACTGCAAGTTATCACTGAAGCCGAATCCTTAACTTTACTAGGAAGCTGGGAAGTGTTACATTTTGCCTTGGCATATGCAATATTGTGGTGTATTCTGATGCAATGCAGATTCACCCTCAGAGGGTTTCCTAATCTGTTTTTTGATAGTTGCTACAGGTATTATTCTTATTATGTTTTTTTTTTTTTCCCATATATTGGGCCAGATTCTGATCTGTATTGCATAAACTGAGTGCATTTCCATTCATGTTGGAATTTCCTAGTGGTTAAATTCCATTTAGAGAGCACAAAAATATTATGGTAATAGGCAGGCTAATAAGGAATAATATAGTTAAATTGATAAATTCCCAGTGCTCAGAATCAGGCTCATGGGGCTCAATTATGACTCCTAAAAGGCTGAACCACATTGGGAAGGGGGAAGAGGTGCCTTGGTTGAGTGGCATTGCCTGGAGGCATTTTGTCTTTGTAAGGCATAATGCCTCTGGGGAAATTGGGGGCATCACAGTGAGCATTGGGACTCAATGCACCTTGGAAAAGTCTAGACAGTACTTTGTCCATTGTAGGTCTGTGGTTGACACCGTGGTTGTGGGAACATGTTCTCTGGGGCTAGACAGCACCATGAGCTCCCTTTCGTCCTTCTGGTCACAGAGAAGTGAATTATGGCTGTTTCTTGTCTGATTGTGCTTTTGGGACAGGGAAGAGGACTTCCAGTCTCTTGTCCTGCCCCCATATCCATGCCCTGCTGGTGCAGTTCCAGTTCCGTGCATGGAAAATGCACATTTGTGTATCATGCTTTTAGTGAATGCTAGATTTTACTAAAAATTCTTTTTACCACAGGTTGATATGATTAATAATAAAAAAAAAAAATTAAAAAATACCAATCTAGGGATTTCTTCTCCTGTGTAAAAGTTATCTATAGAGTTTGTCCTGCACAAGCCCTCTACTTACTGGAACTTAGTGGGTTTTTGATTATTGAAATTATGAAAACAATAATTATGAGAACTTTGTTTATGCATATGTGTATATACTTTTTCTCACACACATGGAAATACACACACAGATGTCTTTTTCCACTTGTGGGATTGTGAAATACTAGGAAGTGAAAATAGTGTTATTAAGCCTCATAATAATTAGAAGTATCAGAGTATTACAGACAATTAAAAAAAAATGTGTATTTTGTTTGACATTTAAACGTAATCTGCTACTGTTTGTCATAGAGATATTAGCACTTTTGAAAAATATATCTTTGTAGCAGAGAATATTAGCATGTAGTTTAAGGAATTCCTTTCTATATTTATATCCTTAAATTCTGTTTTGTAATTTCCACTTTATAATCAATCTTGTAAGCACCTTGTGTAATAAAAAAAAGCAGAATTAGAAGTCAAATGTGAAAATAGGGTTTAAATAAAATGAAAACATTAGAACTTAATTGTCTATTTTATAATAATTCTTGTGAACTTGTACAGTGTTTCAGTTTATAGTTCTGCAAACTGGCCCATTTAAAAAACATGCTGTTTGTATTTTATATCAATTGGATGTGCTACTTGCAAACAGTATTTTGAAATAAAGATCTTTATTTTGAAACTTTTGGATATCACCTTCTTCTAGTCTTGCCTTGTTACTCGTCTAAAGAATAATTTCATGTATTTTAGTGTTTTTTCTTCTGCTTAAACCCTTCCTAAAGGTGTTGGCCTTTGGGTGACTTGCACAGAGGGTGAACCGATATACAAATTGTCCTACAGGTGGAGCTCAGCTGACTCAGGCACTAGAAGCTGTGTTAGCATGAACCTCCAGCAGTAAAAAATTTGTCCTTAAGAGGGAAAATTCATTCCTTGGTGAAAATGGATTAATTAAGTGAAATTCCAGTAATGATTAAATTTTATCAAAATAAATAAAAATTTATTTTAATACATCCACAGAAAGTCTTCAGTTTACCAAAAACAGGCTGAACCTGGAGTATAACCGGCTCTTAGTATTCATATGATTTTTTTTTCATGTTGGCTTAAGCTAAGTGTGAACATCCTTATGCTACTTTAAAACTGCAGAAACTGTATGTTACAGTCTTTTGCACTATTTTTTTCTACATCTATAACCCTGTAGAGGGTCAAAAAAATTGCTTCTCTGGCCATTACAGAGGAAAAATGTTACAACTGGCAGAAATTGTGTTTGAGCATATATCAAGGAGATTTACATTGAGACTGTGCACCAAAATAATTGCTTTAGTAAGAGAACTGATAAACACATAGACAAATAGCAACATTTGACACCTATTTTAGGTAGTTTAGCTGGTATCCATAATACATAAGATTTTTTTTTAAATAATGGCTCCTGTTAAGAAGGACCAGGAACATTCAGGATCTTTTGGACTGAATAATGGCTCTATTTCAGTTGTAGTTCTCATGTTAAGAACTGTGTGTTGGCTTGCTTAGATGAATCACTGATTTTGAAATACTTTAAACAAGAAATTTTTCTAAGCTTTTTATACACTTAGGCTTTTTTCACATTATCTTAATGTTTGCAATATTTGGTGTATGTTCTTGGAGAGCAATGCCAATTGTATTGATGTATCTCCAAAATAAAGCTTTTATTGTCTCCAGTCTTGTAACTTTCTAAAAGGTAATAGATCATAGAATGAATGATGTATCTGAAATCTTACTCTTGGCCCCAAAATTAAGTTAAACATTAGAGAACTGTTTCCCCAGTGTCTTATCTTAGTCTTTGAGTGCACACACCATGTACTGGAAAACTCCACATTGTGTTGATGGTGACAGTAGTAGCTCTAAAATCCTACAGACATTAATCTTGTTTTTTCCCTTACCTTCCGCACCTTTTGCCAGCTCTTAGCACTTCCAAAGAGAGCAGGGAGATCTGAACTCAATTTTAACATTGAAAGAATTTTAGTAAAAATAATATGCTGCGCTCACTTCCAAGGTGCACTTGTTGAGTGTGCTCAGTGCACTAGAATGTGAAGTTGATCACTTGTACAAAGTTTAGCCTACTCTTAAACACTTGCTTATGCTATTTACCAGTGATTTGGTGCTATGTCATAAAAGGATGAGTTTTATCTTCTTTAGAAATCCTTAATTTGATGGAAATAAATATAGTTGGAAAGAGAACTTTCTCTGAATTATCATTCTGCAAAACAGGTGGATGTTTCATTTGATTACATGTTCTTAATGTCTTTATGGTTTCTAATCATAGGTTCATAGTATTGCATTGGGAGGGACTTAGAAGCATCATAGGATTCCAACCCACTTGCCATGGGCAGGGATAACTTCAACTAGATCACGTTGCTCAGAGGCCCATCCAACTTGGCTTTGAACCCTTCCAGGGGTGGGGCATCCACAACGTCTCTGGACAACCTGTTCTAGTGCCTCATCACCCTCACTTTGGGAATTGCTTCCCAATATCTAATCTAAACCTTCCCTCTTTCATCATAGAGCCCATTCTCCCTTGTCCTATCACTACATCTTGTAAATAGTCTCTTTCCATTTTCCTTTTAGTCTCCCTTCAGGCAACTGGAAGGCTGCAGTTAGGCCACCCAAAAGATCTTTTTTTCCAGGCTGAACAATTCCAACTCTCCTATCAGTTCAGCACACTTAATAAAACACGGCGTACAATCCTGTTTTCTTATTTTATGTACGCATATTATAGCAATTGTTAGTACATTACCATTCAGTACTCATAAAAATGGAATGTAAGATGAAAGACTGTATAATACCTTTTATACATTTAATAGTGCCTTACTGATTTTTATTCTGGTATGCGTTTGCTATTTTAACTGACAAAATACTCCACTATAATTGGGGCTCTTTATATCATCTCAGTAGGGTATGTAATTGGTGCCCAGGCACTACACAATTCCTCTTCAATCAGTGATGTAGGATTCAGAAATTTGTCTCATCTCCAAGTTGCACAAAGTGACCACACTGTGAATATGCTGTACTCCAATATGTTTCATGTTACAATCCTACTTTTTTAGGCACCAGATTCACAGTGCCTACCTTTGTTTCCTTAGCTTTTTTGCAAGGTGATATGTTTGGTTTTGTTTTGCTTTTAAATTTTGGTTCAAAGAGAATTGAAAGGGTCTTCATTATGGAAGTCTGGGACAATACCAAGATACATGTTGCATTGTAAGTTGTTTCTTCATCTTTTCTATGTTCTCTGCTATGTGCAACTTCTAGTCAAAGAGATGTATAAAAGTGCTGTCTTTGGAACTTTGGACTTAGCATCTAAATAACTGAAGCTCAATAGTGTTGAAATATTTGAAAATGAAAATGTATTGATTATGTCTTTCTTGCTCAAATAAAGCACCAGAAGTTCTATCAAGATGGATTCTGCAGAATTTTGCAAACTGACAGTCTTCAAAATAGTTCTGCTTGCATGAATAAGACTAGCACATTAGTTTCATATTAGCACATTTTTTAGTAGCAT